TACTTAGAGACAGCTTCCGAAACCATAGGCATTGGTGCAGCTGCCTTTTTGTTTCTGTTTTGTTGTTTACAACTCACTGTCTTGCTTATGGGTTTCCTGTGGACAGCTGGCTGGCCACTGTGTGAACAGAATGCTCAACTAGATGGAGCTTGGTCTGATCCAGCACAGCAATTCCTTGTGTTTGTATTACTTTTGTTAGGGATGTCTGCCACCTGGTGACTGAAGATGGTACTGCAAAATTTAAACACAAGGAGATACTAACATTAATTAAATGTGCAATCAGCAGAAGAATTCCTTGTTCCTGTCTAAGCATGTGTAGCTTTGTGCTTTAATGCATTCTAACAATCACTTATCTCGGAGATGCATACTCTTAGCATTCCCTTAGTGTGGATGCCATCTTTCAAGGGTCTGCAAGGGTCCCATCTTTCAAGGGACATTTAATCCTCGTTCATTATTGCAGAAGGTTACACAGCCCGAAATGATTTGGTGTATAGTCTGGGGATGCAATCGGGTGCTTGAGTTACTGGTTCTGCATGTATTTTTGTACTGTTTGGCTGCTGTACATAGCAGTGGCATCATAGCATCTTTAAGGCCTACCTTTTTCTTGAATTAGAATTCCTCCTGTGCCAGATATGGTAATCCTTTTAGGAGAATCAAGTGGTATCTCACATCAATACATGGCTGCTGATGCTTATGTGGTCATCCTCCCTCCCTGAAGTTTGAAATGAACCCCACTTCAAGTATAGTAAGGGAATGATCCTATGCATGTTAGGCAGAAAAAGTCCATACAGTTCCCAACATGCCCCAGCCAGCATGGCTGGATACATCCCAATGCTCCTCACCACACCCTGGCTATGAGTCATGCCTGGTAAGATGCATTGGGTTGATCTCTCAACTGACAGTGAAGGAAGAGTAAAAAGGTAACCCAGATCAGGAGCATCTCTCTGGCCACCCAAAGGACATTGCAGAGGCCATGTGTTCTGACATTGTGCTGGCCTGCAGTCAGTGGCAAGCAGTGCACTCCCCATTTTCCTATTCAGCATACATCATACGGTGTATTTCTGAAAACCATAATCTCAGCCAGCAGCTCCCCTGAATTTCTTGGACCACTTGATGATAGGCCATTGGCTACATCATCATTATCATTTGCATTTCTACACTGCCCCACAGCCGAAGTTCTCTGGGTGGTTTGCAACATCATATAAAACAAAACAATAAAAAACAATACAAATGCCATAAAAACAACAATGTTCAAATGAATTTACAATGAATTTACACTGGCTAAAATATACAGTAAAAAGACCCTGCAAAGAATCACCTGGATAACCCCCTCAGGGCCACTGGGCAACCAAGCAGGTCTTGAAGGCTTCAGCATAAAGGGCTGTCTGAACGTGGTGCAGCAGGGAGGTTGCTCTAAAGGTTGCGGGGAGCAGGGCTAGCACAGAGAAAGTCTTCCCCCTTATTGTCAGCCTCTGACCCCCACTCAGAGTTGGCACTTGGAAGAAGGCCCCAGCGGGTGAGTGTAGTGTTCAAGTCATTTGCGGTTGGGAGAGGTGCTCCAACAGATACTGTGGTCATCTGAAAACATTGTAGGACTTTATGCCTCCCACACCCCCCAAAAAATGAGCCTACATTCCTTTTCGAAGCATTTGTCATCCATTCATAACACAGTTAAAACATATTTTAGAATTACCCTTCCTCTGCTTGGTTACAGTGACATCCTATCAGTGAACGCATATTAAGCGAATTCAGAGTGAAAGCAATATACTTCTTCAAGAAGCCCTGCCCTCATTCTCCATTAGCTTAACTTCCCTGAAGTCATGCTCTCACAGAACAGTGCCTGTCTGGTTATGTGAAAACATCACTGTACTCAGAAGAAGGCACTTTAGAGAAAAACAAAATAGCATTAGAATAGAAGTTGACCGGATTTGTGGCGAGGCCCAGAACAGAACTGCTGCCCGAATGGGTAAAACTGGGATCACAGAATGTGTGTTCTTTGAAGAAGGCTACAAGAAGCTTGAGGCAGGTACTTTTCCACAGATTCACCCCAAAGTTGGAGCCAAAAATTAAATCAAGAAAGTGCCCCCAATAGTCTTCTTCCTAGTCCATCTGGATGTTGGAATACAGAATGAGTTGCCTGTACAGAAAGGCATGGCTGGCTGGGAGTTGTGGGGGTTTTTTCTCTCTAAGCATGCATAGAATTGCACCCTAAGATGACTAAATTGCAGGGTCAAACCATTGCAAAAGGTGGTCAACTGCAAATAATTGGAGGTAGCCCACCCCCTGTGCTGCACATGCTAGGCTTTTAGGTGCTCAGTGCATAATACCTCACATGTGAGCAGTGGTTTGCCTGTGCTATGATCACAACAAGCCATGCAATACCTGTGCTCAGTGGACTAGCAGTATCCCCATATCGGTTGGGGGTCGGGATGATACTGAGAAGGAAGTCACTGAAAGGACTTGCAGCTAAGGTAAATTTTGAGCTAAGTGGAACCTGTCCTCTAAGAATGCTAATCTGAGATCACTTGTTAGCTGAAAGAGAGTCAGTGTGGTGTAGCGGTGAAGAGTGCAGGTCAGAGACTCCAGAGACCTGGGTTCTAGTCCCTGCTCGGCCATGGAGCCAGCTGGGTGACTTTGCACCAGTCGCAGACTCTCAGCCTAACCTACCTCACAAGGTTGTTGTTGTGGGGATAAGATAGAGAGCAGGAGGAGGAGAATGATGTAAGCCGCTATGAGTTTGTTATAAGAAAAAAGCAGGATATAAATAAGTAACTATCCCAGACCTTTGCAGCTATTCAGGCCTTTTCCGCATTAGGCTGTTAATCTCTTAATTTACCTTCAGTTTCACTGGAGCATTGAAATCCAAGCTCTGTACAAAGATCTCTTCCTTTCCTGCTTTTCTGCCACATTTTGACAACCAGCGTGGTGCAGTGGTTGGAGTGTTAGACTGGGACTCAGGGAATCTGGGTTCTAGCCCCTGCTTGGTTCACTGGGTAATTTCAGGACAATCATTCAACCTACATTACACAATTGGTGTGAGGATAAAATGGAAAGATGAAGGAAGATTATGTAAACTGAGCTGGATTCCTTGCAAGACAAAAAAAGTCAGGATATAAATATAAGTAAATACTCTCTAGGTAAAACTGTGTTAAGACAGGATATACAAATACATAACGAAAAAGCACCACTCTCTCCGTTCTAATATTATGCCCCATTTTCCCTATCAAAAAAGTGAGAAACTACCTTGGAAAAGATAGAAGCAAAATTGGAGGATCATGACCTAATTTAAGAAGTCTAGAAAGACCTGTGAGTAAGGAATCGTGAGCACACAGTAAATGCCCCATGTAGAAATGATCTTAGAAACTTGTGTTTCATGGGATTCAGAAAAACTCAGTTATCACCAGGAAGGCATTTCTCATTTACCATTTTCTCCAGTATTCTGAGATTCTAAGTCACAGGACTGCAACTTCTATAAGGGCAACAGATCACAGAATTTGCTGTAAACATGGACTGAGGCCATACACATTCTTTATGTTCTTGACAAACCAGTAGTAACATTCAGTTTCTGCTAAAAAGAAGCTACCCACTATCAGAGCTTGGTTTTCCATTTTATGGGGAACCAGATGGGATAAATGTTGAGCTTGCATTGAAAGACTGGGTGATATACAATTGTGGACTCTGCAGCAGACCAGGGGCACCTGGGTGTGCAGAGTGTGGAGGGGAAGCCTAATGCAGGGTTAGAAGTCCTTGGGCAGAAAGCACTGTTACGTTGTGCAAGTTGCAATGGGCTCTTTCTCTTCCTGAAGAACCTCATTTGAACATGATGTTTGCAGCACAATCATCTATGAATCTACTGATCTGGAAGTCCCCTTGAGGTTTAACCTCCAGTACATTGCAGATCCAGCTGCCTGTTCCAAGTAACAGTACATAAGTCTACCGGATGATGCATAACACAACATGGCAGTTCTGGCCAGATGCTACTTTGGAAGCAAAAGGCATTTAATGGATGATCATATAATTTAGGTTTCTGATGCATTATTCCCATGTCATTTATACAGTACCACTGATGTGCAAACCCACTTTTTATTGCCTCCACTCCCTCGAAGTTGAATTCTGAATTCATTCTTCTGGATTAGATTTCTTGAATCTATGTGTTTGAGAAAACCTAATTAGACACTGGGAGCATGGATTGGCTCATTTATGTGTGTAACATACTGATGTATCACATTAATAATCAAGGAGCATGTAGCAAAGAGATGGGGAACTGCAGCTCTATTTAGTTTCTATTTGAAACCTAAATAGAAATCAACGGGCTTTGATTCCAATTTAATCAGTTTTGGATTAGACTATAAAATAGATATTATACAATTCTTACAGTCTGAGGAGAGCATAGTATGAGCCTCCATTTTTTTTCCTGGAGGTACCTCTGTTTTCTGAATTTTGAGACAATAGGGCAGGTACTACAATTTTTAAAAAAGCAACAGCATCAGAGGTGGATGAGAGTACAGCTGTTGTTTCTGATGAAGTTCATAATAGCATATGCCATTAATAGAACCCAAAGGATGGTTTGGGCAAATATCATTCTACCATTGTGGTACACCAGGCAGAATTTGGCTGAGGGCTTTCTGCAATGACACACTCGATCTGTAAAAGGGAGGTGAGAAATAGGACCTTTTGACATCATACCCTTTGCAATACAGAGCACAGATGTACACCCTTCAGCAAAGGAGAAACAGCCCTCTCCAAATTTCTGCCCTGTGGCATATTTTCCATTGATGTATGCTGCATACCTCCCTCCCTTGCCGTTTCTCTGGGCATGGAATTTAATGCAGAAACCCCCACCGCCCCACCCCCTATTGAGAGTTATTTTCTAGTCTGGCTGTCATTAACTTCTTCAAAAATGCAGCTACTGACATGCATACATTACCAGTTGCAGTGTGGGAGAGCACTTTTGTGTGGATTAAGGTTCCTGCTTCCCTCCCCTTAGTCCACATTCCTTTCTTCATGCATGTGTATACTCACTGCTGCCCTGCCCTGCCTTGCTCCATGCCTGGCTCATTTGCTGTACACAACAAACGTATCAGATGCATGTGGAAATTCGGTGGGAGGGCGTATTCTGCCTGCTGGTTTCCAAGCAAGAATCTATTGAGATAATCTAACTGCACAAGCAGCTTCCCAGGAGTAACCTGAGTATGTAATCTCATTAGGAACTACTGTAAGGTATAGTGCTTGTTCATACACACAGAGAGAAAATGCATTTCTTTTTTTGCTTTTCAGCATTCAAACCAGTTCTGAGCCAAAATGGAGGCACATTTTACCAATGCCCCCCATAGCAGAAGCCCTACTTTTCCAGTAGTGGCTGGGTTCCTTTTGCAAACAAGCACGAAACTGTTCATAAAGAGGTAGGTGTCAAGGAGAAATGGGTACCACCCTGATCAAGCTCTGCAGGACCAGGGTCATAGCATAGCATCTTCAGGGAGCCATAGAGACAGCACTTTTTAATCAGCTACCTGCCATTCCTTCAATACTCACTGTAGCTGGACAAGGAAATGGATGGGTATAATGCAAAGTGTTTGGGGAGGGAAGAAAAAGCTATTGTCATTATGAATGACCTGTTTCTGATAGAGCTGAAAACTGCTAGAACTGCTAGATTGCTTTGAATGGATCATCAAAGCTGTCTGCAACTTTGGACTCTCCTTGGGAGTAATGCTATGGGAATTAATATGATGGGCACTTACACTTTACCAACACACCACTTTTCAAGCAGCTCCAAGCAAGGACCACTGCTGTTCTGTGTACTTAATCCCAACCACCACCACTGCTCCCTCAAAATGCTGGGCAGAAGAGCAACTTCTGGCTGCCACCTTTGTTTCCAACAATGCCCTGGAGGTTGAGTTGCACTGTGGTTGCTGGTTGGGCCAGTGTGGCCAAGATAAGCCCTGCAGGTCGTCCACAAATGCTAGAGGTGCACCAAGGCACACAGGGAATCTATCCAATGCCACTTTGCCTAGAGCATCCTTGATTATTCGGGATAGATTGTGGATGAACATTTTGATGCCCTTCAGTGCATATCCAGCAAAAGTAATGCAGCATGAACTGGCGGTAGTCACAGTTATGACTGCAACTTGGATGCTCACCTGAATGTGGATTTCTTGCAATGACGAGGGAGAGGCAGCATTTAGACTAATCAGGGATTTGCTTTCTACTTGCCCTTCCTAGGACATTTATAAGGAGCTGTTGTCTGGGCTTCACTGCTGTGCTCCATCGGGACGAGTCTTCACACCTGCTATCAAACTTCCTGGTAGCCATATAAGAAGTTGCTCTCCTTACGCAACAGTGCAACTGCTTTCTTTTTCAGTTTTGGGAGACTTTTATTTTAAGGCAAGAAGGATGCATTGGGATTTTTGTTTGTTTTAAAGAGGTTATTGTACTATTGTGATCTGCAAACTTTTGCAAAATATATTTTATTGTCTGATTTTTGCATTCGCATTTCCCTTTGTAATCTGCCCTGGAAGCCTTTTGGCTGAAAGATGGCATAGAAATAAACTTTAACATAACATTTGGTTTTGTATCTAATATGCAGCCACAGCCTCATTTTACCTTAAGTATTCAGTGTGCAACAATGCAAAATGAGAGAAGGAACAGGACAAAAATGTTGCCATGCAAGAGTTGGTGGGCAGTAAGTGTAGGCAGCTTGAGCCCAGTTGATTGGGAAAAGTAATTATGTTCCTTCTTCTTCATTGAGAGTCAGGGGAATGGGAGGGCTTTGCTTGCACTCAGTCATGTGTCCAGACCTGATTTGCTACATGGTGCTGTGATGTCACAGGGCTCCCCATATGATCCCTGATTGCCTGAGACCACAAAGTGAAACACAAGGAAATCCTAAAATTGGCATCAAAGCAGCAGCATGTTAGGGGTGAAAATGGGCATTAACCAACATGGAAGAGCACTAAGGTATGAAGTTCTGCAAGAGGCTTTTGACATCCTTTCAAGAACCCTATTTTCCAACTGAAAATAACCCCCCACTAAGATTCAGCACAGGACACATTTATGTTCTTCCTTAACATTAGAAGGCTGAAGGCTTTCCGAAGCATTTAGATTGCTGCCAATTATGTTTCCTTACACTCTAAGCTAATCACAGTACATGCAAACCATAGTGTCTCAGAAATCAAAGTGCATTTATATCTTTTAAAAAATTGGGGGATATAAACTAAAACATTTATTCCTCTTTCTCCATTGTTTTAAGCACAGAATCTTCCCCTAAGATTTTGCAAAGTTCATTCAGTCTCTGTTGCATTTTTGGCATTCCTGCAAGCTGGGATTCTAGTCTCTGTTTTTCCTCACTGAGGGTTAAGCGGATAGCAGTGTCCAACTGTTCAAAGCGCCAGCCTCCTTCCCCGTCAAACTGGAGCAAGTGTGTGTGGTACTTCCTGTAGGGCAAGAAAAGAAACACTGAGGAACCTATCTCAGAACTGTGACACAGATGCCCCGCTTAATGGGACACCAGAAACAAGAGGTTCTTTAAAGCCAGTTTGGAATCATTGTGGGAGTTTTTAGCAATTGCAAGAATCACACCTTTTTCTAAGCTATGGAATTACCAAGGAATAAACCCTGTCTGTTCCCCCACCAACAGATAATCCATTGATCAATCAGTCCTAAAGGCTGTTTCTGATCTACTGAGGCAAAGGTCGATTGTCTTATAAATGGAAGCCCTTTGGAAGCACTCTCTTCCCATGATTACAACTGTGCTTGTCAGTCATGACCCCGCTGAAAAGGGGTGCACGCTTGTGACTGTGACTCCTAGGCAAGTATGAGGAGGATATGGAAAAGAACTAGTGGCCTGGCAATACCTGGTACAATCCACAATCCTAATCTGATTGCAAGCAAAATGAAAGCAAGCCTCATTTAAAGACTCACCAGAGAGATGGTCTGTGCGTTATCGAAAGCAAGGATATGCCAGATCCCTTGGCAGCCTGGAATATCTTTCCTTCCACATCAATGCTGACAGCACTTGTACATTCATCCAGTAGTGCATATTTGGGCCTTATAATAAAGTAAGAAAAGGAATAACTAGTTACTTGCTTTGTGGATTAACGTGGCATCTCTCTCCGGGGAATGCAGAGCGAGAGGCTGTGATTTTGGGAAGTGAGCATGGGCACTGTGCTCATTCTCAGGCTTGCAAACTGCCCAGTCCCCTCACTGGATTCTCCAGACGTGTACTGGAAGTACTTGGTTCAGAGTGATATAAATACACCAGTTTTGGGTTCATAGAAGGTATCCCAAGACAGTCTTCAAAGCTAACCAGTCAAGTAAACCTGTCAAGATATTCAAAAACATTCAAGCTGTGTGTGCCCATGATAATACTGCATTTGTATTTGAGACTGGTTTTGTCCTGGTTGCCATGAAATGCAACAGTGACAGTCAGACAGACCTCCTTTGAAGTGGAAAACTGATTTTAGAGATCTTACAAGACAGTGATGATGAATTCCCATAATGCTATATATATGAAAAGTGGAAAGACATCAAGAAAATACATCTGCATTAGTTCTTTCCTCCAATGTCTCCTCAGTGACACAGGGAGCAACTGCTGTGACACAGGGAGCAACTGCTGCAGTGCTCGCAACTGGTGTGATGCCCTCCATCACGGCTCCACAGCTGGCTTTTTCTCTGGATAACTTACCACCTTGTTCACAACATGCCTCATGATACCCCGATAAACAGCAACTCACTTTCAAAGCGAGCTGGACTAACCACTGCAAATTAAATTTACTTGTAAGTAGCTTCTGTCAGTGCACCATTTGATGTGACCGGATGCTGGAGTTACTGTAAGGTGAATTGTTTTCCTCCTTTTTTGCCATCTCCATGAGGTTTTTTCACCCATATACTGGAGATGCAGAAAGAGCAGCACCAGAACAGCTGAGGGGCTCTGTGCAGACATACGGAACACTACCCAGTCTCTATCAGTCAAGGCTCTGGCATTCTTGTCCACCTTCCTGTGGCTTGCAGAGTGCTAAAGCCAAACCTGGCTCACCTGGAATCCCAATCCACCCTTCCGGGGTTCCCCAGGTGGCCCTACCCCTTTCTTTGGATTCATCCCCATTCCCCAACCTCTGAGAGTCATCTGGGCTTTCTTTCCTCATTCTCAAAGGTTGAAATGCCTCTTGTGAGCTTGTAAGTGCTTTCAGCAACAATAGACTGGTGTCATTTTGCCTTAGGCCCCTTCCACCATTGGAAGGAGGCTTCTCTGAAGTTGAATTTTGCCCTCAGGCTGCAAGGAGCTCAGCATCCCTGCTGTATAGATTACCTTCTCTGTCTCTGTTTCTCTCAGGCACTCAGAACACTTTTTTCACTATATATCATTATGTCTACCCAGCCACTGGTCCACTGCTCTTCATGTCTATCACTCTTCGGATGGATCCCACGCCTGCCATCTGGCTCTTCTACACCTCCCTGTAGTATCATATGCCTTATCCTATCTTTGCACTCCTGAGAAATATAAATAAATGCCGTCCTTGCCTGGAGCTGAACCAATACATTTCTCTGCCAGGGGTGGAATTGAAGATGGTGTCCGTTCAGTTCTTTAGAAGCCAGCGAGACTGACAGCTGATACCGCTGCTCCACAGCTAACAGGCCTCCTGCACAGTGCTTGGAGGCAGCAGAGTTGGCTGGAGCACACAGGGTAGGGTGGATGCAGCTCACAGCAGTGTCCAGCACCGCCCCTCTCCCAGCTCTCACTGCCTCTCAGCATTCGCAGTCTGAGGTGGCGGTCTCACTTGTCCAATGATAAGGCCGGCCCTGTTCATTCTAGCCATACGGTCACATCAAAGCCTGTTTAGCAGACTTACTTGTGGTAAAACATCCGAGCCATGCCCATCCTCTGCTTTTCTCCTCCAGAGAGGACATCTTTCCAGTCTGTCACAGCATCCCATCCTATGAAGAGACATTAAAAAATGCAGCTGTTTTAACTTCTTTTTCTAACCTTCTCCACCCTGCTTTTTGCCTGAAACCAGTTAAGCAACAAATAGACATCTTTGTATGAAACCATGAAATATCTTTTAGCTGTTGTTGTTTTTATATGTTTGGATTCTTCTTTTAATTATAAAAAGATTTTTTTAAATGGGGAAATACCCATGATTGTGAAGGTTTAGTAGTACACATAAATATTACTTATTTCAGGGGATTACCCAGCAGCACAATGACACAGTAGCATATGATACATTTTTATCATACCTGATATTATTTCAGAAATACAAATGCAGCACCTTTTTGCTTTCATATATTCATGTTATTTCGCTGTTTCTCATAACTGATAACTCAGGGACCAGCTACCTGCTTTAGCCCTTAAGGCAGCCTTCATCAGCCTAATGCTGTATTGGATTACAGCTTCCATAGGCCCCTATGGCTGGCTGGTGGACTTTATGATTTGTAGCCCAGCACCAGGCTAGGGAAGGCAGCCTTGAGTCATATGCTGGTATAACCTGCATATACAAGTACAAATCTACATCTAAGTTACTATAGAAAAATAACTCAAGTTTTTTTCCAGAACCAAGTCACTCCTTTCATATAAAATCCCACTCCTAGTTCCCCACCCCAGCTTCATTTTAGCACTCTAATTTAGAGAAACATTAGAGTGTTTCTCAATATTACAAATAAATTTCTTCCATATTTACCTACCTGGATCCTAAAATAATCATTAGAGGCCCTTGGCAGGGTGCCCAGTAGGTAGCTAACAGAGAAGGGCCTTTTCAGTGATGGTACCTGATTATGGATGGTACATTTCCTACGTTATGATTTTTCTGCCTCTGTTGAAGATCTTTTTATTCTCCCGGACATTTTAAACACTTTTAAAGATCTTTTAAAAGCAGTGGTGTTTAATTTTCCATTGTTGATATTATTATTTCTGGGTTTATTTTGCCTATTTGGTTTCTACTGTGGTGGGGTTTTCATCTACTAATTGTTTAGGTGTTTATTTTTTATTATTTAAAAACCTTAATATAGGAACTGTGTTAAGTAGGCAGTATATAAATGTCAAAAATGAATCAGTGAAAAGTACATGCATACTATACAATGCTGCAGATCACCCAGAATTCTATCATTAGTTTCCTATCACCTTCCTGCCTGTCCTGAGTATAGGGAACATGTGGTCTACTTCACATATAACAGAAGACAGAATCCTATGCAGATTTAGACAAAAAAAGGACTACAGTCTTAGCATGACTGCCTGAAGCATACTGGGAGTTGTAGCCCTTTCTTCTGACTAAATATGCATAGGAGCATGGTCCAAAGACAGCTCAATCCCAATCGATTTCTTTCATATAGGCAGATTGATAAAATGTTTCATAATGAATTCTAAATCGGTTACATAATTATTTTATTCATTTAAAACTTTTGGAGACCATCCCATTACCGAAGTCTCAGGACAGTTTAACAATACAAAATGTTAAGAATTTTTGTTTAATTAAAATACAGCATCCTAAACTTTAGCAATAATAAAACCCCAATTAAAACAGCCAGATCTTAAAACATTGGAAAAAATACAAAAGTTTTGGCCAGGCACCAAAAAGTATAAAGTGATGGCACCAGGCAAACCTCTCTGAGGAATGAATTCTATAATTGGGATGCCACCGCAGAGAAGGCCCTTCTCCGAGTAGTCACCCTCCTAATATCCTTCAGGGAGGGCACCCCGAGAAGGGCATCTACCCCAGATCTTAAGGGCCAGGCCGGCACATATGGAAGGAGACGTAACCAGGCTCTAAGACATTTAAGGCTTTATAATGCTAGTATATAATGCTATCTGGCATGAGTGGTAGATTCAGGCCAAACAAAGGCAAATGCTCTTTCACATAACTCACAATTAACTTATGGAATTCATTGCCACAAGACTTGGCATTTCCAGTTTAATTATCATCAAGCAGCAGGATTGTGAATGACTTTTGCCTGACGTCTGCTTCAGTCAGAGAAGCCAATACTGGGCTGGATGGGCCATGCCTCTATTCTGACATGACTGTTATACACACAAATGAGATACTTAGTTTTAGCACAGCCTTCTCAGGCACTGATGGCAGAGCAATCCTACACTTCCATACAGCATCTAGACCGCCATAGGTAGGATTGTCCAGACTCACAGCTCCAAGGTCTGAAAAATATTTTTTCTCCAGACCTGTGGATCCATGTTCAGATCTCCTTCCCCCAATTGCAGACAGCTTGGAAAAGACTGTGCTGGTTGCTTCTCTAAGATTGCAAAATTGGCATTCCAGAGGGTGAAGGCAGGGACAGACTTAGTACTGCCAAGACACAATACACTCTGGGCTGCCTTCCCTCTTTCTCTTCCTCCAACGCATCAGTCAGACAACTCAAAGTGGCCATCCAGCTGCTCTGAAGAGTGGAAGGAACGTAGAAGCAACCTTCACCTCTGTATTTCTTTCACTCTGCATAGGCCGTCCAGTTCATAGGGTTACGGGCATCCTGATAGGACTGTGACTTTAATGTACCATTGCGGGTTAGAAGCAGCAAGCATGGACTTGTGAAGGAAACAGATTACAGACGTCCAGAGATATACAGATCCATATAATTCCATAACTATATGGACATACATATTTATATACATAGTGTCTCTCCCCCATCACACACACAGTTCTTTTCTTCTCACATATGAAAATTAAAGTACCTCCTTCTCTTTGAACTATGTGATTCAAATGAACTATCTGCAAAATACATTCCAGATCCTGGTCCTGGTACCCCTTTTCATGCATGTCATCAATTGAGTCAGGATAGATGACCTGATCCCGCAGTGTTCCAATGGACATGTAAGGCCTGCAAAGTGGTGGAAAGAATGTTAATTAAATTAGCCCTCTCACACATGGAGTCCCCTCTTAAACCTGCTATTTAGGGCTGCCAGCTGATGTTCTTTGAGCAGTGCATAATGCTTTAAATGCTGCCTTTCTAAATACTGTAATTATTTGAGGATGACTGTTTACCCAAATTTATTCTAGAGAACAATGCATTATTTCCTGATTAGAGTGGAGCAGTGTGGATTAACTCCGGCTTGTGAACCATACACCAGCCTCTGAAAACGGCTTAGTAATGTCTGCTGGTCCAGGATGTGGGAATAAGGACCAGCAGGCGAAATGGCAAAGCATAGTAATCTCCAAATTACTCCCCTTCGGGCTGCTTGTGCTGTGGCTCTTGAAGCACTTACAATATCCAATGACTTTCTGCTATTGCATATGGAATGATTACTCATTATTTGGCTTACAAAGCAAGCCCATGCATGATTTTTAATGAATGAGATCACCCTGTCCATTCAGAAATGGTAGGGCTTCTTTGCAAGGAATAGCATAAATGGGCTTTCCCTGAAGGTGAAGCACCACCTGGATGGTTTTATAGCAAATAAAGGTGCAATCCTATACTTGTTTAGGCAGGAAAAGGTCCTACAATTCTGTTTTCTGGCAGCAGTGCTGGAAGTTGTAGGGCATCAGTCTGTCTAAACATGCACAGGATTGCAGCCTAAAGTGGTATGAAAATGTTACCATTAAACAGAACATGAAAGCCCATGTGCTTGCCCATCACAACTTTAGACACATCTTGTGGGAATACAAAGAACAGCCTCTCTTTTGCGTGTTCCGCTTCCGCCTTATATTAGTTCAAGGGTGTTTTAGGGCAGGCTACAGTTTCCACAACTCTCTTCCAGATATAAATAATTGATCAGAGCCTAAAATAACCAACAGTAAGCTTTCCTCTCCTGTATCCAAGAACGTCTGTTAAATATTTCAAGGCTCTGTTACCAAGCCTGAGCAGAATTAGCTTACATGCACCAGCACAGTTGACAGGGATCAAAGAGTGGTCGAGCTTCCCTTAGCTGCAAGACAGATAAATGGAAACTGCCATTGCAGATAGGGACGTTACACAATAAACTCGAGACTCGGGAAAAGGCGCAAACCTGAAAGGTGGAAAGGAGGCAGTGAAGACATTCAAGTTGGAAAGTGTGCCTTGATTTTATAAGCTTCTGTTTGGCAGTCTTACAGGAAAGCGGTCCAAGAGCACAATCCAGAAATTGCTTGCCTTGGGGATTCAAGCCCACTGGAGAGACGCAGCAGGGAGCAGGCTGTCAATCAATGTAAGAGTCAGCAAGAGAGAATCCCAAACAGCTGCTGAGGAGATACTTCCTGCCCTTCCTATGTCAAGTTCATTAAAAGCCACTGAGTTAAGGCAAGAACACACAGCTGAACATATGGAACTAAAGTGAAATGACAGGATTGTTCCATCTGTATCTCTTTGATAGGACAGATATCTATTAATCTGGCACTAGAAATTAAGCCTAGCAGTCAAAATCACTGTAATATCAGAAATGTAAGGATTATGTCGGGACTGGACCTTCTCAGGAGAGAATTGCAAGCAGTAGGCCAGAATTTGATTACTAAGTCTCCTTAGACCCAGATTCAACTCTCATGAAGCTTTTCTCTCAACCTAGCCTACTTCATGGTGTTCTTGCAAGGCTAAAATAGGAAAGAGGAAGAAACATGTTTTCCACCTAGACTCTCTGTCCCTCTGAAAGTGACAGCCATTTTGTGAGGGTGCCCATGGGTCTCCCAAAATTCCAAAAGTGGTACTGACTAGCCCTAAAGCTCTTTGAAGGAAAGGAGTGATATAAATGTAACGAATGAAATATTATAATATGTTGTCAGAGCAATGAATCAAGGAAAACAAGATTATGTAGACTATGCTGGATGTATTGTGTTGGATGTAACATGTTCTTTAAAAAAATCCCTATTACTTTATTGCAGAGGCAACCTGTAGCCCTGGAAGCACCTGTGGCCATCAATCAATTGCAAAAGCCCTCTGCATGTGATTAGTTCAGACCAATTACAAGAGAGAAGTGCCCTGTCCTGACAGCCAACAAGGCAGGGAGGGAGAGGGAGTAAAAGGGATGGTAGAGGAAGAGAGAAAGAGGGGGCAGAGAGAGAAAAGAAAGAACACAAACACTTTGGGCTCCAGCTCTGCCTTGTCCCTGCTATCTCTGGCCCTTTTCAATACTGATATGCAACTCCTGACAGATTACCCACAAGCAGCAATGCGTGATGAACTGAGTTTGAGGGTGGGAATCCATTGGATTTCTTGGCTTCCCAGGCTCTGACTAGTTTTCTTTCTGCCGAAGTCCACTTGGTGCCAGGTGTTCATGTGGGTGTCCAGCAGGAAGTAAGTCCAAGCAAGGTTGAGAAGCAGGCTTCTGCACACACCACCTGCCACCCGTGTGCCTGCTGTGCAAGTGGAATTCTGCTTCCGCACACTGAGTCGTGGACTCTGCACACTTTGCACAAAGAAGGGTTTGCTAGTGTTTGCAAGAGTTTGTGGATTTGATTTTCACTCAGCTCACCTCCTGGCCAGAGCCAAGCATGGGGAAAAAGTTCAGTGAGCACAAGAGAGTCAGATTCCAGCTGAATCTTTGTATCCCTGCCCACAAGTTGGTGCAGCCCTTAATGAAAACAAGTCTGCCCACCTTGGTGTATTGGTTTCAAAACAATGCAAGCTATAAAATCTTCTTTGGCCCTTCTTCCCCTCTCTCCAGAATATGAAATAAAGTTAAAACATTCTCAAGTGGCATCTGCACACAAGTATTAAGATGTGTGCCTTAACCTTTGGCCAAATCCACTGTCATGCAAAACCTCCCAGGGAAAGGGGAATTACAAATATCAACTTAGACATTACATGAAGTATTTTAGGAAAAATAATCCCTCTACACCAATCTCAGATTCACTGCCTGGGATTTCTAGAACTCTAAGCCTCGGTTCTAATTAGCAGATTGCTAGAGTCTCAGCAGTCATGGTGCCTTTGACGGCAGGGGAGAAAATGATGGCTAATCTCTAGAGCCAATATTCCTTTTCAGGAGGCTTCCTCAGGTAATTCCTATACATTTCTAATTGGAATCCACAAAGCCACACTTTGATCATGCCCTGTAACTGTGCATTTTATGGTGATGAGTGTAAACTCTATACAAAATGAAAGTTCCTCCAGTTACTAAGACAAGCAACATTCTCAGATAAACCTCCAATCTGCATTATATCAGCGAATTAACTGCTTTGTTCTTTTCACAACCCATCGTAAGCACTGTATGACAGTACAATACAAATCCATGTACTATATTAATCACGAACAAAAAGCACAAACCTTTGTGGGATGTAGAACATATGCTGAGGAGGGGGTTTGTAGAGAACCCCTTCATAGACAGGCCATAAGCCACTCAGAATTCGGAAGAGAGAACTCTTTCCACAGCCATTGGGCCCAGTGATTAGAAGATGCATTCCCTCTTCAACCTACAAGGGACAAGAATGAGGAACACAAAATCCTTTTAGAAGGGAGCTCTTTCTGCTTACTTTCAAGCACAGTATGCACTCCCACTGGCATCCTACTGTCACTATTTATACCTCAACATCTGCATTCCTGAAATTGTGTGGTGATGTCACAGAATGCAGCGTTTCAATCACCTATCCCAAGCCGTGACCTGCAGTCCAGATTAGCTGCATGTTTCTCCTGTCCATCTGGAATGCTTTGATGTGCATGTAAGGCATTTAAGGAACCTTAAGAAACAAACTATTTCCAAATGTACAACATGTTTTACTAGGAAAGAACAATGGCTAAGACTCATGTGCATCAACAATACACACTGCCTTTATTCAGTATTATGTGCACAACTACTCCTAGCTGTGACAGCGGAAAGCAACCTAAGGATAAATGTGACGCTCTGTCTAATCATAGCCACAGTAGGAGTTCCATATGTGCAGAATCAGCGCTTGTGTTTTCCTGCCGTCTGCTTCCTCTTTTAGCTCTAATCGAACCACAGCTTTAAAAAAAAGGGGAGGGGTTGGAATCTGTGAAAATGGAGTGTGTGAAAAATACACCCGCATACTCATGGCACCACTGTAGTCCCAATGCCAATATTGCCTAGATTCTGTCCCCGACTCTAGAACAGAATGAAACTTTTCCTTCGGTAACTTGCACACACCAGGACTGAATTTTTAACATTTGTTTCCCATTATATGTTCAGTTTTCAAGTCAAGTGCATCAAGGTCCCTACGACTTCCTTGCAGTGGCAGTCTCTCTTTAGCAAAATGTATACTTAACACATAGGAAGAGCCCTGCTAGATCAGACCAAGGGTCCATCCAGTCCAGCATTCTGCTCACACAGTGGCCAACCTGCTGCCTGCAGGAATCCCACAAGAAGTTGCAACCTCCTGACCATTTTCCTCAGCAGCCATACTGGACTGTATAGCTCAGTCAGGAACCACAGCCATTGATGGCTTTGTCCTCTAGGAATTTATCCGATCTCCCTATGAAGCCATCTTGTGGTAGTGAATTCTCTAGTTCAGCTATTTGCTGTATGAAGAAATACTGCCTTTTATCTGCCCTGAACATACCACTGATCAGTTCTGTGGAATGACCTTCAGTGGTAGTATTATAAAAGAGGAGAAAGTTGTCTTCCTATCTACCTTATCCATACTATGCATGACTTTGTGCATCTCTATCATGTCTCCTTTTACTTGCCTTTCCCCTAAGCTAAACAGTCCCAGATGTTGTAAGCTTTCATAGGAGACTTGCGCCAGTCAGTTGGAGTTACAGCCTGGCCATGTTATTTGCCTTCCTTCCAACTCTACAATATCCTGTTCTAGATGTGGTGACCAGAACTATACAAAGTATTCCTAGCGTGGTTGCACATAAGGGGGGTATGATCTTGGCAGCTTTATTCTCAGGTCTTTTCCTGATTACTGCTCATGAGGAATCCCCCTTTTTTTACTATCCAGCTGCACACTGGGTAGATTTTGTCATCCATCTATCCAGAACAACCCCAAGACCTCTTTTTCAATCAGTCACTGCTAGCATAGATACCATCTGTGTATGGGAGAAGTTAAGACTTTTGCTCCCAACAGGCATTACTCTATACTTGCTTATCTTGAAGCACATTTGCTTCATTCCGCTCCTCCACAAATTTACACCCTCCTTTGGTATGCATTTGACTCTGTTGTCATCCTATTTATAGCCTAACTATAATTTTATTATTTATTTAATTTCTATACCACCCAATAGTTGATGCTCTCTGGGTGCTGAGCAGCAGTAATTAATGCAATAAAAACAATACAGAATAAAAGTAAAATAAACTTGTTTTTAAAACATGTTTTTACAGCTACACCACTAAAACCAGTCCATACAGCTAGGCCTACAGAAAAAAATAGCTGGCAATGCCCCCCCCCCCCCACACACACACACATACACACACCCCACATGTAGGATCTGGAGCTGGAAAATAACTCAACGAAGAGGGTGATCTTAGCCTGGCATTTGAAGAAAGGCTTCAGTAGCTGAGCATATTGTCCAGGTACACTATGGTTGGAAGTGGCATACATGAGATACTGGGGATCTAGGTTGTGAGAGCTTTATATGTTTAAAACTATATACTTAAACTGGGCTCAGAAACATATAGGCAGCCAATAAAAGTGGGCCAGAATACAAATTATATGTTAAAACCTAATTACTAGTCTGGCTGCAGCATTTTGCATATATTGGACAATGCAGTATTTTAATTTAGAGTTTACCAAAGCATAGATTACCGAAGACAGGCTATGCCTGTCCAGGTAGAGGCACAGCTGGGCCACCAGCAAGAGTTGGCAAAAAGTACTCTGTACCATTGAGGCCACCTGAGCATCAAGTGACAAGATGGATCAAGGAGCAACCCCAGGTTATGAATGTGCTCCTTTAAGGGGAGTGCAACTCCATCCAGAATGGATCAAGCATCCTCCAACCAGTGTGGTGTAGTGTAGAGAGCCAGTGTGGTGTCGTGGTTAAGAGCATGGGACTGGGACTCAGACAATCTGGGTTCTAGTCCCTGCTTGGCCATGGAGCCAACTGGGTGACTTTGGGCCAGTCACAGACTCTCAGCCCAACCTACCTCACAGGGTTTTTGTTGTGGGAATAAGATGGAGGATAAAATGCAAGCTGCCTTGAGCCCTTTGTAGGAAAAAGGCAGGACATAAATTGGAAAATAAATAAATAACACCCCCCCCCCCAGTCGGGGAAGTGTGCACTAATAACATCTCAGTCTTGTGTGGATTAAGCTTCAGTTGGCTAGCCCTCATCCAGTCCATTGCTGCATCCAGGCCCCAGTTTAGTACATCAAGAGCCTCACCTGCTGAGGATAGAAAGAAGAAATAGAGCTACATGTCATCAGTGCACTGAGGGTCATGCATTCCAAAACTTCAGATGACACCACTCAGTGATTTTGTGTTGATGCTGAACAGCATGGACAAAAGGACTGACCCCTAAGAATTCCCATACTGGAGAAATCATGGGGCTGAGCAATATCCTCGAGTCCCACCTTCTGGAGCCACCCTACCAAGTAGGAATGAAACCACTGCAATGCAGTACTGCCACTTCCCAACTGAGACAGTCACTCGGAAGGACATTTATGGTATTGAACATCCCTGAAAGATTCAGGAGTATCAACATGGTCGCACTCTCCATTTTTTTGCCTACATAGGTCATCATCCAGAGCAATCAAAGACATATAGCCTGAAGTGCCTGATCCTGCCTAATCTTGGAAGCTAAGCAGAGTTGGGCTTGGTTGAAATCTGGATGGGTGATTTAAATTTGAAAACTGCCCAGAGAACTCCAGCTATAGGAGATATAGAAATGTAGACGATGATGAAGATTTCCCAATGGATGCAAGAAATTCTATTCTGGAACTGGCTAGCAAATATATTACAGTGGGCCTCAGATGTGTCTAAGATGTCCTCGGGGCCAGTGTGTATTAGACCTGGATGATGCTGAAGAGGCTCTGCTGGGCAGCAAAGAGAAGACAGAAGAGGGGCAGTGAAGCACTGCTGCTTAGCTACCCTCACTGCCTCTAAATATACCTCACTAGAGGCACTTACCAGGGCTTGATGACATCCTCCACTTGCACTATACTGTTGAATCATTCTCAGCTTTGGAGTATACCTTGGAGCTGTATATGCTTAGTACAGAGAGGCCATTCTGGAGACAGGTCATTGTGTATTCCAGAGACCAATCAGGGATTTGACAGCCTCCAACCGTATCAGCTGGAAAAATCCCCAAGAGCACTCTGGAAACCATTCAGATCTGTTAGCCTCCAGCGATGGGCCATCTTAATTGGGCCTTCACCCTTACTGAGGGGAAAAACCACCATTAGTCAACAAGCTGCAAACTAATTCGTGACACAGGGACCAATTCAAAGACTGCCACCTTCAGATCATTATTCCATGACTGCTAAAAAGTCAAATCCAGAGTGCTTTGGGTTGCTGACAAGTTGGGACATGAAATCCAGATAAGGTGGCCTCAGCATGGATGTTAACATCCCCCAAGATCACAATCTGGGGGTCTTCAGCATGACAACTGAGACCACCTCTGTAAGCTCAGGTAAGGAGTTGAGCAGCAGGGTAGCTGATACATCAACAGAATTCCTAATCTGTCCACTGGCCCAAACTAGATGCAAATACCACAGAATAGCAATCAGATAGATGGGAAGTCTTGAGAGGGATGCAAGGGAGAACTCCTATACACCATGACAACACCCCCTCTTGCTGCTAAAGAAGACCTTCCAAAGGAGAAGCAACAAAAGCCATGAGCTGTCCAGGGCAAGGCCTCAAGATGGAAGGCAAGGCTTGCCAGATGTCCTTCCTGTCTACCAAGCTGGTTTCCTGCATTTCCTCTGAGGAAGTTTGTGCTCCCCTTTGTTCTCCCCATTTGGGTAAGCCTAACATTTTCTGAAAGAAGCCCTTTTCTCCTAATACTTCCTCTGACCCTGCTTGTTAACTCTGCTAGTGAACTCTTGGCCATGTTGCTGCCTCTCCTAACTTATGGCATACATTCCACATTAGCTTTTCTTATTGTGGTTTTGAGTAACCTCAAGCTTTCTGAAGGGTCTGAGCTCTTGACTTCCCATTTCAACTTCCTTTTTCCAGTACCCTCATTTTAGAGTTCTTTCTTCTTTTGAAGGAAGAAGTGTAACTTCCTTCACGCTTTATATATATATAAAAATCTGATGGCACTGCAGTCACTGTTTCCAAATGGTTTGGCAAAACTCAGATTTTCCTGAGCAATACCACGTAGCATTAAATTCAGGGTCTCCCAAACTAGAGACATTCAGAAAGAAACTGGACAGCCATCTGAGTGGGATGGTGCAACAGCAGGGAGTTGGACCTGATGGCCTTCATGGCCCCTCCCAACTCTACTATTTTACGATTCTATCACTTCCCCTCTTACTGGTTCCTTAACAAAGAGTTCTGGGGCACTGAGTTCCTTAGGGTACTGAGAAATTGAAGTTCTTTGTTGTGGCAGGCATTTATCCATCCAATGTGTGGGAAAACTGAGGTCACATATTCTTATAATACTTCTTCATTTGGAAGCTTCCCTAATTTCATTTTCCATTTCATGATTACCCTAAGCATTCTGGCCCATTTAGGTTTTCTAGCCACCATGACACCATGCCCTCTGGGACATGACATCTTTAAACGTATATTGGTAAGAGCAGAGGAAATAAAACTCTGTGAGCTGGAAGTTTCCCCTGTGTCTGTATAAGCAGAGAGATGTCTCTTTCATAAGACCCACACATTAGGCTTACATCAGCTACAATTAGTAGCATTACAGCAGCAATAGGAAAGTACATCCCCTCCACCGTACAAGCAGGCACACGCAGAGGTGTGTGAGAGCTGCTTCCCCATGGCACTATCTGATATCACTGTGGAGTATATATGTGGTTTCCTTATCTGTCCTTTGCTCTCACTTTCTTGGGTGGGAAAAATTCCTATCAACAGTCCTGCTCACACAGTTGTAGTATTAAAGCATCAGACAGTGTAACTAAGAAGCATCTTACACCTTTATGTTGTGTGTGTCTGTGTGTGTGTGCGCGTTGGAATTATTTCAAGCAAGTGCAGCATGGGCAAGTTGTCAGACGCATAGAGGTATGCTAAAATATTTTAGCTGTTTTAACCTGCAAAGAACTGATTCACACAGGCATCTAGCTGGCAACTCTATGTATTCCGAAAAAAATATAAGATCCTCACTGAATTGGATGGGGATGGGGAGGGCAGGACAATTCCACAAACCAATTCTGTTTGCATATTTCTGACATGGCACACTACTGTGCCCACTGACACTTCTCTTGATGCCTGCTAGCTTCCATGCCCATCTTTCATTCCATTTTAATTAAAATATGGGGCGGGGGCAATTAAACTGAGGCTGACATACTACAAGGCGACGCATCCGCTTCCAGCACCATCTCTATTTCCAAGAATGTCTTCTGGTTCCACGTGGCATTGACAGCCAAGTTACTAGCCCTATCAACTTTGTGCAGAAAATTATAATTTCAAAAGAGTTATTTTCTGTTTTAGAGCTTAGATCTCCATCTCTGCCTTGTACTTCTTCTTTGTTAAGTTAATTTTTGTTTGCTTTAGTCCCACCAGTTTGCCTTTTAGGAAATGAGTGTTTTGTGAGTGGGCAAACTACTTGTACGGCAGCCATTTTGGGAGAGTCCCTTTGGCAGTCTCTCAACATTCCAAACGTGCTTGATTTGAATGTTTGTGGGGCCCTGGAAAATGGTAACACAGATATACAGGAGATGGGTCATATGCTCCCATTCTCCTCTATGGATATAGTCCCTACAATGACCCTTTAGTAAACATTTGCAATATTTAGAAAAATAACATAATCTTACATCACTGGTGCTCTGCATGAACAATATTTCATGCTCAGGGGTGACAGGGGTTGAAACTAATCTAAGAATATATGGCACGCCTTCAGACTGACTCTGTCTAATGGCACCACTGTTTGCTTGCTAATTAAAAAAATCAAGGAAAAAAGCTTCAGTTGACAAATCCCAGTGTTTAGTCAATCTGAATAAAGAGCTGCACTAAAGAAAAAACTAACCCCATGCTACGTGCCATATGATTAGCAAAACTTCTAGTTCAGTTCTTACTGGCATTCACAGTGAGGCTATATAATGCAAAATGAGGAAAAAGTAGCTTCTTGCAGTAAAGCCAAGTAAAGGAGTGATGGGTTAAGCAGGGGTGACGAGATGCAAATGGGATGGAGGATTCAGGAACTTATTGATTAAACTCAGACAGCCCAGAGAGACAGGACAGATTAAATAGACAAAAACAATAGTTCATAAATAATGAAAGAAACAGAAGGTTCTTCTAATAACTCTGCAACTCTCTGCAAGCAGGCTTTCCACCCTATGTTAATAGGCTACAATATAGCCAAATTTTGTGCCTCCTTCACATAATCTTAGTTTGACATAACAGCTGATCTAACATTATGCAGAAGTCTCCATACCCACAGACAGTTCAGTCCAATAAAAGGAAGATACAAGTCACATTGACCTGGTTTGCATGTCACCGCAACACACCATAGGCAACTTAGCCACTGTGGGTTGTTGTGTCATGTGAACCTCATGTGATTGCTTTCCTCTAGGTGGCTTATTTTGTTTTGCAAACAAGCCATTCTGACAACCAAAGCCTTGCTCTAGGAGCTGGCTGAATCCTGATGGATTGGCATGTCATTGGATAGCAATAGTGAAATTTGGATAGCAATTTCACTGTGGACTGCCAAGACTGGTTGCAGAGTTGCTCAGAGTAGCAAAAACCCCCATGCCCAAGATTTTCATAATCTTGTAAAAGACTGTCCTACTGTTAATGCTGAGATAGCATTTTAGAAAGATCACCCCTTTCTCCCTGGCTTTTTAAATAAAAAATATATGTTTAAATTATTATTTTTATTGATCTTTTGCAAGTGCACTTATACAGCCAACCCTTATATATAGTTTTGCCTACATCAATACAATTTCCTTGTCAATTGCAGATGTCAAAGGGATTGGAAATGAAGCAGGCAACAGATAAGGAACTGAGAAGGCAAGTAGATATAGGAGTGCACCTTTAGATGGCCTCAGGAATTCATGCATCTTGTCCTAGCTGCTAACATCATTAACAAAATAGCCTCATTGCTACTGAAGTTTGCCTAAAACAAAATTCAAGGCTAAACCCATGCTTTCTGGGACATGCTGGGAGCTGTAGGTCTTCTGTCTAAACATGTATAGGACTGCACCCCAACAAGCTTTATAAAATGCTGCTCTCTCTTACCCTCACAAACACCTGATCTTGTTACTATTACAAAAAAGGGTGTGTTTTGCCATTTTCTGGTAGCTTCCAGAAAGCAAAAACTTGACCATGTGAATCCTGCTCTCTTCATTATGTTTGTAATTCAAAAAACTGCATTGCTTGTTCACTGAGGCAGCAAAATTAGCTTCTAACAGTACCTCTACTGGAGTAGAGGGCAACATAATGCACAAGTGCACCTATAAAGTATTAACATTCTGGTTTTAATTTTCAATCTGAAAATAGCGTCAGAATGCAGCTAGAACACTCTCACAGTCTAGCCATCTTCTCATACTCTAATCCACACCTTCGATCCAACATGCTCAGAGGAACAGGAACAGGACAGCATCAGCTGGCCCTGCCCCAGCCTTCATGTGACTTGTCCCTAGCCTTGTCCCAGATTTCTCCGTACCTGAAAGGTCTGTACTTATGTAGGACCTATATGCATTCCTTAGCCCAAATAAAGATCCTACATGCATAGAATTATAACTTTCTCATTTCTGCCCAATGCAGAGGTCAGAGGCAAAGCCTGCTCACCTCCATACATTGGCTGAACTTGTGGACCAGAGTGCACGAGGCATGCACTGGTCTTTGTGTTACCTGAAGTAGGATAAGTTGTACACACCTGCCTCTACTACTCAGCTGCCATGCCTACCTTGCTTGATCTCCCCTCTTCTTCAAATGCTCGTCCAAGAATTTAACATAAGATACATGAATTCTGTGCTGTTTTTGTGCTAACTGTGATGGTAACAATCAGAAGATTCTTGCATATCATCTTACTTTGAAGTTTAGCCTGGAAACCACCACATCTCCGTTTGGGGTAATAATAGGAACATTTTCACAGATTATTCCATGATCAACATCTATCACTCTTCCTACAAGTAAAAAACACAAAAGAAACACAAACCACAACAACACATGTTAGTAGAGCATACACACAAACACGCACACAGAGGTAGGCAGAAAGTTGTTGGTCTTAGCAGAGCCAATTCATGCTATAGATTCATTGTTGGATGTCTTACAAGTGAATTGCTTTCCTTTAAAATATTACACTTGAGAGGATGCTAAGCCAGCATGAAAAGATCAGTCCTTGTTTCTTAGTCCATGACTATGTTAAAGGCTCTTACCAATGTCAGTTATGCATCAAGCATAATGGCTGCAAATGTATTGTCTTATTACTCTAAACTTTTAAAACTTTGCTCAGGAAAGTCCAAATTAAAAATATGTGGAGGATATTCCAGCTTATCATGTTAACCTCTCAGTCCAGTTTCCAAAGCAAGAAACCTGGAGAATATCCAACTATTTCCCTTCCATCCTCCACAGTAAGGAATTTGTCGCAACTACATACAGCATTTGGTGTTTCTGTGCCCAATGAAACTGGTTAGATACAACTATAACTGTATGGAAAATGATGCACATAATACATCTGAAAACCTACACTCTTCTGCTACACCACCATTCACTGGATGTTCAAACACACATTCCTACATCTTTCCAAGTACTGTATTAGCAGAGTGCTAACCTTGTTATTAAATATGTTCTATGGCTCCAAGTACACAGACACTCGAGAGGATATACAATGGAATGTTTCGATTTAAACTTTACCAAACATAGCCATTAAACATATCTCCTTCTGCAGGTTGGCACCAAAGTTGTTCTAGCCTGACTGGAAGGGAGAGACATGAAAGAGATCAAAGCAACCACTTGTTGACCAAGAAAGCATAAAGAAGTGAAGTTCAGATTCTAGGTATAACTATGAGTAGAGTCTGAGCTGCACACTTGAAGAAGCCGTTTCATTTGCTTAAGAAAATGTGCATTTCAAGCTCCTTCAAACATGAAGCTCAAACTCAATTTACAGATATTTGCAGATATGACTAGCAGCTACAGTTTGCAGTTTCCTGGTCAACACATGATTGAACTGATGCTTCCCATGTCCAGGTCCGATTGCTTTCAGAATGAAGAACTGGGAGGAAGGTCTTCATTTACCCTCTATGCAATTATGCAGGGCTGCAGCAACTGTAAAGGTGCCCTTACAGCACCACAGTTAACACCCAATGAAAGTATATGAGCATTTGCCAGATGGCATTTATTCAAAGACCTAATGTGCAGCTACCCTAAGCACTTGGGGGCTAATCTACTGTCTCTAGCCAGCAGCCATCCAAGCATTAGATTCCCTCTTTCCTCTGCCTTCCCCCATTCCTGAGCAATTCCTGGAGAACAGTAGTGACCATGTGACTGGAGCAGTTATCTTCCATATGGTTACTCACCACCTCACAGTAAGCTCTTAAGTGGCCACTGCACAGCAGACGATCATGTAAATCTACTCAGTCTCCTTCCCCCAGCAAACCTACACTCCTTGGCTTCACCTTCACTTGGTATTAGATCTAGTGGATGGAATTAGGGGGTGCTTAAGCAGCATTAAAGCATGTTGTGTGGTTACTTCTTTTTAGCCCCAGCAGATGGGGTATGAACACAGCAGGAAAACACTGGGACATACAAAGGTTCTCCTATAGCCCATTCACTGGATATGAGGGACACTGCCTTGCTAAATACTGAAAAACAGCTGTCATAGCTGCTGCTTTCTGTGAATCTAAAGTTAAACATTATGTCAAAACCAGCCCCTACCACTGGTACCCAGTTTTAGCAAAATATTTCAATATATAAAACATGTTCAGCTTGCATTCAAATGTTTTGCTATACATTAGTAGAAGCTGAACATATGGTTAGATACAATGGTGGCAATCAGCCCATGGAATGAAAACCACAGCCAGAATGAATCTTCCTCCCCCATTGCAGCCCCCACACATAACTATTTGCTCAGGATGGTAGTAAGATGCTCCATAGCAAATTGTGGGGACACACAGGAGCTGCAGAAGGGAGAAGGAGAAGGGTAAATTCATGTGCATTAATTGCACATGCATGACACTGGATTTGGCCCATAGTCTTTTGAAAAAATCAAAGATGCAGAGCAAGTTTAAAACTGATGTTGCACTTGTCTAACCCATGTGCAGATACCCTTCTTCACAGCAATCAGGTGCCACTGACCGAATTAAATACTTATAATAAGACTTACAATTGGTTCAAATGAAAATTTAAAAAACCCTATTAGAATAATCATTCCCAATTGAAATCAAACAATTTCTTCATTATATAGCCGAGCAGCATTTTTCCAAGGATTACAAGGAGTTCTTACCTGCTTTTAAATAATCCAGTTCTTTTCACTAGTTGTTCACTAAGGAACAACTATAGCATTATTGCCATGTAAGACTTAAACTTTGATAAAAGTTTGCAGAGTGACTTCCCCTCACTCTTTTTATGCCACTAAAATTAAAGCATAATAAATACAGTGGTGGGTTATATTTACTGACATGAATCATCTTTCTTCCTAAGTGTTAAAGGAGAAACATCCCTATATAATAAAATAACAACTTATGATAAAACTAGAAATATCTGAAATACAGATTCCCCCTTAATGCTCTACATTCCCCCTTAATGCCAAACATTATTACCTAATTTGATTCTGGAATAAGTTCATCTAGAATTGATGTAGCTTCTTCAAGACAATACCAAAATAAATGGTTTGTGAATTTAAACATTTAGCAGGCAATTGCCTCTATTTCCAAAGAAGAGAAAGAAGCCTTAAATGCTAAGAAATACAGAAGTTTGAGAACAGTTTTTAAAATAATTTAAAAATTTTGTACATTGGAATAGGGAGTCCTATCTGGGCTAAAAGGCCTCAAAAATATAGTCCTAGTACATGACACCCTTCATATAATTGGGGGGGGGGGGGTTGGTTGTATTTAGAATTTATGAGAGGCACGATAGCCCCAATCTGGGTGGAGACCCTGAGAGTGTTAAGGCAAGGGCTCCCCCTCCCCAGGATGGGAGCTTGATCCAGCTTGTTTTCACACCCACATGCCTACAAACAAGCACATGCTATATATCCTAAAAACATTCATGGAAACTGCATGCAGCATACTTGAATCCACAAAACACTAAGTAGCTGTGGGAGAGGGGAGATATTTAAGGCACTACCTTAAAACCAAAAATTTTACAGGGAAATTGGAGGAGGGTGGCAGCTGATGTCAGCATCCCTGTTAATCAAGAATTGCCCAGTTCTACCCCTGTGCACTTTGGCTGCACTATTCCACTGCCAGTGGGGTAAGGTTGGTGCACTGGAAGTAAAAAGAAGGTGATGGGTATATGCTAAGAATTGTTAGAGAGAAGACAAATAATGGGGACACACATTTTCAGGATTAACTAGGAAATGACACTGGAGATAGAAAATCCTTTTCAGGAAAGGTATTATACTACTTCACAGATGCATCTTTAGACACCTGCAAAGACATCTAAAGAATGGGATGCTGGGAGACAAATAGCTCTATATATTATGGGAGCCTAGTTAGAGGAAGAGAAAGGGAAAACAAAGAGAGTTTAAGATTAAGACTGAAAGGTCAGCATTAATAAAAGAACTCCATCAAACATATACATGAAATCCCTGTACCAATTTGAAACTACAAAGGAGAACAGAAAGTCTGCATGCTCTGTCGTATTTTTCTTTTTAAACCTCCCTTGAAACGGGAAACAAAGCAGGTCAGGGAAAGATTGAACTAGAACTCTTATTCCTACCACATTAGCATTTCATGGGAAAAGAGAGTTTGATGGGTAGAATATTCAGTTAAGCCACCTCCTTTCTGCAGCTGTGCCCCATTTAATACATCTGAACATGTATTACATGTACATTTATTGACCCTCAGCATCTGACAGAAGACTGTTCACCACACAAAAGAGGTGGGCAAAGAATATGCTCGGCTGAGGGTGGAAGGCAGCAGAAACTTATCACAGACAATGGGAGTGGATGAAGTGTGCAAAGAATGCCTTTGTTTACATAGCTGCCCCACTGTTTCAATTTTAAATTGCATACCCATGTGACATCTTGAGAAGGGATTTTTCACAAAAGATATTCATTACCCTTGATTTCTAAGGGGCCATCAATATGCCGTTCTGTTTTGTCCCTCTTCTTGTGGCTGCTTTCACATTCCTGGGAAACAGCAGTCCTCTTGTAAATCCCCCTCTTCACTTCATCGAAGACTGCAAACATGTTGTACACTCGAGCTGTGTAACCTGCTAGCTCTGTGACCTGAAAGAAAGCCATTGATGGCAGAGATGAAAAACCATCCCCACACATGTGTAAATGCATTATTACAACCATTCCTCCTTTTATTCTTCCAAAAGCTTAGTAAGTATCTAGTATGCTGCAGAATGTTTTTTGGTCTTGATACACATCAGATCTTTCTTCTTATAGACAGTGAGTGGCAGGACCATCAAGGTCAGCTTTTTGATTGCTCTATGGCAGCCCTCCAGCTACTTTAGACTAGACTTCCCAGATTTTCTGGCCATCAGCCATGTGAACTGGGGCTGATGAGAAGCTTAAAACACATGAAAATCTATCTTCTGCCCACCCTTGTTGCAGGGCACGGTGATGTCACCCACTGATAACTGGACTGCAAGACAGCAGAATCTTCAATGACAGTGGTTATTCTTTGGGGCACTGGTCAAGAAGGCAGCATGCAAACGTAGAACATGGAGGCTTGTAACCCAGCTTGTTTGGCTGGCATTGCACTTAATCTGGCTTAATGCCATCAAATCCAATTGAATTAAGCTGGCCAAAGGTGATTTGTGGACCACAGCTATGTAGTTGAAATACACAGACATGTATGCAATGCTTTAGCAGAAAACAGTGCTAAGCTCCCAAAGGGATAAGGCTGCCACAGATGACCTCGAAGTAGAATAAGAACTCTCCTTCTCTCTTTCATTTTCCATGCCAAGCTCACAGAGACATGCAGTCACTCACATGGGATCGACCAGTATCCGGTGACTGATACTGAATGCAACTCAGGGCTGAGTGCATTCCTGTTGTAAGTCTGTCACTTTATTTATAAGCTTTATTAACCACTTAAAAACCAACAACAAGTAGGAGCTTCAACTCACTTAAAATGAGTAGAGTTTGATTCTATTTTCAGGAAGAACAGTTTCAGGATATATTTCTTTCTTTGCTTAGTAAAACCATTATGTCAGCTGTTACTTGGAAGAGGGTATTTGGCTGGAAACTGGATCGAGTCTTTCATGGTCTCTTTCCTAGATTGCCGTAAACCATTTATGTCTTTTATAAGGCCAGTTCCATTCATCTCAATGTGTGTGTGCATACCTACACACACACGCAAACAGACACACATGCAGACATATATACAGCCAAAAATAAATGAGCTCACAGGCTTTTCTCTCTCTCTCACACACACACAATTTCATAACAAAATAATTCAATGGGGCAATGGCCTCATTGAAAGATGGTACTATGCAACCAGCTTGACTTTTTGGGGCAGGAAAATGTTGAATGCAGATATTTCTGCACTCCTGTCCCTCCCATAAGGCTGACTCATTTAAACAAGGCCATTGGTACCTCATCTGGTTCTTCAAAGGTACCTCCCTTAAAGATGCAGCTAGAAATATTCTTGTGCCCAAAATCAGTGCTAAATTCCTATCTTGTTCATCCTGACTCCAAACAACATGGGAACTCATACCTGGGTTTGTATATTTAAAAAAAAAGCTGGGGTAGAGGGGAGGATGGCCATCACGAGTGATGTCATCACCTGCAAACTTCAATGTGCCATATCCATCTGCTGGCAGAAAGGAAGACAACCAAAACATCTGGACCGGTTGAGAAAATAGGACTGAAACATATTATTTATGTATTTATTTATTTAGGATATTTATATGCCGTCCTTTGCAAAAGCCTCAGGATGACTTACAAAGATAAAATACAAATATCCCCCAAAATAAATAAATTATCGACCCACTCTGGCTGCGATTAAAATATAATGGTAAAAATACAATATTAAAACTTATTAAAATGTTGATCAAATAAAACGGTCTTAACCTGGTACTGAAAAACATATAATGACGGCACCAGGCAAACCTTTCTGGGGAGCGCATTCCATAGACGGGGCGCCACCGCAGAGAAGGCCCTCCTCTAGGTTCTCTGTCTCCTAATATCTTTCACAGCGGGTTTCCGGAGGAGGGCATCTGCTGCCGATCTCGGGGGGCGGGAGGGCAAATAGGGAAGAAGGCATTCCTTTAGGTATCCAGGTCCCAAGCTGTTTAGGGCTTTATAGGTAATAACCAGCACCTTGAATTGAGCCCGGACTTCGATAGGAAGCCAGTGGAGCTGATAGAGGACTGGGGTTATATGAGAATAACGCCCAGTCCCCGTCAGCATTCTGGCAGCTCTGTTTTGCACCATCTGAAGTATCCAGACTGTCTTCAAGGGCAGCCCCACATAAAGCGCAGTGCAGAAATCCAGCCGGGAAGTAACCAATGCATGTGTCACTGTTGCTAGGCAATCTTCCTCCAGGTAGGGATGCAGCTGATGGATTAGCCGAAGCTGAAGGAAAGCGCTCCTCGCCACCTCTGTCACTTGGGCTTCCAAGGACAGCTCCGGGTCGAGAAGCACTCCTAAGCTCCAAGGACAGCTCTGGGTCGAGGAGCACTCCTTAGAACAAATAAAATATTATTTGTTCTAAGAAACAAGTTAATAATGTAGGAATGTAGGATTGTATCCAACATTAGTCCTAGTTAGAATGGACCCATTGAAACAAATGGAAGTCACAAGACATTAGTTAACTAACCAAGGGCACAATGTTGTGCTAGTTTAGACAGAAAAGGGTAATATAGTTCTAGAAACTGTATGGACATCTAAAAGTTTCTTTTTTTAATGAGGTGAGCAGAACTATACACTATATTCCAAGTGTGGTCACATCGCAGATTTATATGAGGGTATTACAGTATGAAAGCCAAGACATCAGCAATTAGTTACTCTTATTTCTTGGCAAAAAAAAATTGCTACAGCCTTAGTTCAGCAGTTTATCATTCCTTCAATTATTTGTTTCCATCCAAGGAAAAGTTAAATTTGGCAAGAGAAATAAAATATTTCTTATTAGACTAATAATGGCATTTGTTCAATTATCACAAATTGTACAAATGCAGTTTTTCCTACCAATGGTCAACAGTCTAGTAATGAAGAACTTTAATACTATGTACCCAGCAATGCAAAATAAATATAAATTAATTCATATCTAGCCCAGATCTATGACCTGAGCTGCTTTGCGTGTTTTTTCAGTAACTGTTTCTGTACACAATATTGCATCAGCCAAGTCCAAGGATTCCCCTGAGGAAACCAGTACTGTCCCACTCCTGCTGCTTAAATGTTACTTATGTACCCCGGAGAACATTACAATTAATATTTATACAAAAATACTAGGACTGTGATAGCACCCTGAGCACTCTGATTCAGAACTCTGCACATGCTCTGATATGTGCATAGGCTTCTCACAGTTTCCCACTGATTTCAAGTGAGGGGGGCAGTTCTGAAACCTTAAGTTGTTCAATTAAAAAACAACAACTGCACAAGCCCTAAATGGTGAATAAGTAAAATTTATTAGGGCCGGTCTCTTTCTTTCTGTTTCAGGGTTTGCCCTATTTGGTGGAGGTGGGGACAGTACTTGGAACAAACCCTGAAGGGGCCAGTGCAAAATGATGCATGGAATTTTGATGGTCAAACCAGAGCCCCAGCACCTCAACATTGGGAAGAAAATTATTGGCAGCTTTCTGGTTCCCCTCCGAAATCTATGTAATGTTACAGTGTTATGCATGTGGTTAGATGATGGCAAAGAATCTGAACACCAGTCCAGCTCAAGAATTCCACATCTGTTTGAACTGCTGGATCAAGAACCACATCTGTGGTGCACCCAAATGAACCTCAAAATCAGTGACCATTCCATCTTATCCATGCTGAAATGTTTTCAAGGAACATGTCCCAGTATGTATACAAATATTTTTAAAGCACAGGTAGAATGAATCTTGGTATTCCTTTCAAACATTTCTGTAAGCTGAGGGTTCAACTGGCCCTTTGCCCCAAGCAGACTGGTTAAACAGTAATATTTTGAGCAAGCATATGGGGTTGGTAGTTTGAACTTTCCAGGCTATCAACTTTTATCTGCTACAGCAAAGGGAAATATTTACAGATAATATTACTAGCATAGTATTATTTTCATCATGAATTACTGATGATGATGATGATGATTATGACAACATATATTTCATAGTCTGGCAATGAAACCTCAAAGAAATATAAAACTACTCAGCATATGCTTGCTGTCCTCTCACATCTGAATGCCTGAAATGAACCTCACTGTAAAAACTTACCTGCATCAAGTTATACAGGCTCGAATGTCTCACCTCTTCTCAATGGAACTACCTAATGGTCCTAATGGAATTGACCAGCAACTCAGTGGGCAAGTGTTGCAAGCTCCATTTGCCATTCTTGCCAGGTTGCTGGGAAACCCAAAGGTGTCAGTTGATTCAAGTGCCCAAGGAGCCCTTGTGGGCAACTGACAGTGCCTGAATGTCCCTCATTGCCACTGGGAGCTGTTTTCTGCATGCACAGCTTTTTTACCACTTTAGCATTTTGGGTAGAGCAGGGGAATTCCACAAAGGCTGTTTTGACAGCTGGCTTTCATGACCCCCAATTTGACAGCTCTTTCAAAATGGCCAAGTGGGCATTTACTTTCTTAAAGGTTTTTTAAGCCACATTTACAGAACTATGGAGGTAAGCAGTTGCACAAGTACAGAAATTTGAAACCCTGTCCAGGGTAATGACCAGGGTGGTGCTGCCAAGGTGCTGCAGTTATCAGCTTTGGATATTACTGCAAAGAGGGCCTAAGTAGGTGTCTTCCCATTTGTTTTCTCTTCACACCTGTCAAAAGGCAAGCTGTCAAGGAAAAGTAAATCTTTTTTTTTTTTTTTTTACAAGCGATCTTTGCTTGTAAAAAGGGATGGGTGCATTTCTATCCCCTTCTCACAAAGCTCTTCATCTTTTTTTCTTCTGATAGTGATCAGAATTATGTCGATTGTACACTTTTCACAAAGACTCCACTTGCTTGGAAAAATAGAAAAGCGCATCCCATTCACTTTTTCTGGGGAAAAGTTTGACAGTTAACTGTCAAAACTCTGGGTACCCTTAAAAGGGGGGCTTTGACAGAAAAATAGCGGGTTTCTGATCAGCAGCTATGTCACTTCCAGGACACTGTTCCAACCAAGGTTTGCAATTTCTGCATATGTACAGCTATTTTTTAAATGAACCTATCTGTGCACATTGGGCAGACAAAAATTTTTTGGAAGATGGCCTTAACAGTTTCTCTAAGGTGGCACTTGGGTACTGTGAAGAGGCTTTCAGTGGCTATCAAAAGTTGGGTTCTCACCATCTTAGAAAAACTGGCTTGCAATCATGGCAGAGAAGGAGAAAAGAAGTGGCGAGTGACCCTGAGAGAGGGGAGGGGGGCGAACAACCTACAGTGGGACGAACTTTCTGTAAACTGCCCATGGGATGTTTGTAGAAATGTGCAGATGCTTTCTGTGACTTGTGTTCTGTCTTTCCCTCATAATAAAAAAGTCTGCATTCACTATTTGGGACTTTCCCCTTTCCCTCTCCCTCTGCAGTACTCCCAAATATCCACTCCTGGGGATAGGGGGATTGTTAAAAATATGATGGAATATGGTCCAGGGTCTATAGGTTAAGGGTTAGTTGGTATTTCTCTTTATGTGAATGAAGTACTAACTTAGGAGCTAAGCCCATATGTTTCTTTTGCAGGAAGATTGATACCTCTGGTCACTGGGAAAGATATTAAAAAGTAGTCACCAGAAATGCTCTTAAAATACACTGGTTTCTGGGTTTTGATGTTGCGTGTGTCCAAGAGCGTTTGAAACTTGCTGTGAAATTTGTCCTTTCTTCTAATTCCCAATACTCAACTCACCATCAACAACTGAGATGGTGTGCCTGGGCATCCAATTACATTTCAGATGTTGTAGACTGTTTTTCATTGTATTATCACTTCTGTTGTCAAGAGTAAATTCATTGGGTACCTCTTTGTAAGAAGACATAATCCTTTCAATGGCGTCCGCTCCAGATGCCAAGAGATTTCGTGAAGTAGTGAAGGTTTCCGTTCTCTCACTGACCATCGCTTGTTTCTGATCATCTTCTAATTCTAAAAGCAAGGAAGGAGCCTTAATTGAAGCAAACGTGAAAGAAAAACCTCTCCATAAGAAAATAAGGTCAAAATGGACAAAATCTATATCATGAAATAAGCAGCATTCACACACAGCTGCCAAATCCATTACTTTCTTCATTTTGTTTTTGCAGTTGTTAAACAATTGGAAACCCAGAATCCTTGCCAATTCACTGTATATCAACCAGAGATCTACCAGTAGATCCCAAACTCCCTTCTTCTGCTAGCCTTCCCTAAGAACATCATGGCTCTATAGATATAACAAACAGTCATATTACCCATAACAGTCATATTACCATAACAGGGTCAACAGGGTCTAACCAAAATCTTTAATGTTGGAAGGATTAGGAGTGTTCTTTCTTTTACTTTTTAAAATTACATTTTAATTAACTTATTTTTATTGTTTAAATTAACATTTGGAAGCCTTGAATGACATATTTTGGTGGGATAGAAATCAGATACATAAATATGTCTTAGAAATTATGTTTTTCCTATGCAAATTATTTTTAAGGTTGTAATCTTGGATATATTTGGAAGTAAGCCCACTGAATTCAGTTTATTTCTGAGTAGACATGCATTAGCTTATACTGTACAGTCAGAGGTCAGCAACTTACAGTCTTCCAGATGTTTTAGTCTACAATTCCCATCAGCCCTTACTGATTACTATACAGGCTAAGGCCGATGGGAGATGTAGGCCCAAACTACCAGAGTGCCACAAGTTGCCGAGCCCTGTAATGTAAAATCTTTGTTTTGCCATAATCAATTGGTACATTTATATAAGAGCTACCTTTCTCATATCAGGAATATTAAACTCATTACACTCTGAGTTATGTGAAATGCTCCGAATAACTAGTCTCATTTACATTTTCCAACTATAAAACTGTTTCTTAAATCTTTTACGTCTTGATACCTATTATTTCACTGTAAATATTTCTCAGAAATTGTTACAGCATAATTCTTTGGGAAGCCAGCTTGTGGTATTCATACTTTTAAGCAATTCTCTTTCAGTGAAAGATTGTCAATAAAATTTCATTAAAAAAAAGAAAAACAGTCACCAATTTAAAGCTATTAGCAGAAGGAGAACACATCTAGTTGACTAGTCAGAAAGGATCTGATATATTGACTTGTCAGATACTTTCAAATAATAGTAAAACGTAGTGTTATCATTCTGAAAACAAAGGTAATCAATAATTTTCATATTTATGCTAACTGGCAACATATATTTATGCCACTAGAAATAAGAGAGGTATTGGTATGTTCAGGGGACCCCCAAGTTTTGCAGAAGTACTATCTTAAATAGACCCCCCACCCCCTGCAAGACTCCCCACTGACCAAATAAGTAAGGTCTGGGTATGCAACTTGGCAAAGAATGCTGTTTGTTACAGGAGGTAACATGGAAAAGGAGTGGATGAAAACAGAGTATCCTGGCTCCCTTGAACCATAAAAGGGGGGCACAGCATGCTGCAACATTTTGCTGCAGGCTCCATTTTTAAGAGCTCATTTCCAAAATTATAGAATGATACCTTAATGTTGCAGATGACATTTACATGCTTTAAAAGATGTGTTTTTTCCAATTAAAATGCATTTTAAAAATATGGATTAAATGGTTATGAATTAGTTGTGATTCATCCATTTTCTTTTTCTCACTGAGATACAAGGCTAGAAAAAATTAAGTTCATTACCCACAAGTGAGGGTAAGAGAACCTCAGAATAGCCTCACAATCACATCTCATCATGCACCACTCTTACAGGATGTTAACATTACCAATCATTACACACAACAGTTCTGTCCTTGGAAACAGAAGAGAGCACTGCGCTCTCTTAACTAAGTAACCATCTCAACTTAGTGCCTGCTCATACAGACACTGCGCTCGGCATCCCTCAAACACTCCCATGAACCACAAATATAGATGGCAGCCATCTATCCTGACCTGGGTCAGAGGCACTGTTAACTATGAGTGGGCCAAGTTGCCACTGACCAGGTTTGTGGACCCTCCTGGGCTGTGAGACCCTGGACCTATGTTCCACACTGAAGCCTGGGCAGTGCAACACTGACCATGGTGACCTTTGTTCCAGTTGCTATGGTTACATAAAATTCTGCCAACTGTGTCTCTGTGGTATGTTAACTGGCCTGACAGTAAACATGGTTTCACGTGTACTTGCATGTATCAGAAAGGTCTTCTATGATGCCCTGAAACTGTTCCTGAAAACAGTTAAGACCTCTTGCCTGGGCCACCCCTTATTTTTTTTGATGCAGATAAATTTATACTGTTTCGGGGCTGGGCAGTAAAGGCTTGTACATAGTGAAAGTCCCACTTAATGGCCTAGAACCAAAAAGTAGGGCCCAATTAAAAGAACAATTCTGGAAAATTAAAGTCAACTAGTTTCATTCAGCTGAAATTACACCTTTTACTTTGGAATTTGGGACAACTGGAATTGGTTGACTGTGCTCAAAGAGGGATTTAGAAATGGGTAGAGGTATTTCAATTGGCAAGAAAGGTTACAGGTCAGGACCTATGTAAAACAGCAGAACTGGAATGCCTCTCTCTATGGGTGGCAATGAGTATCTACCGAACAGGGATTTACATAAAGCTTTGAATTTAGAGGGCTTTCGTTCATGAGATTGCAATAAGATTGGAGACAACTTGACAGCACACAACAACTTTCTTCCAGACAGCAATAAGAAATGGAAATTGGATCAATTTGGAAGTCTTCATGTGAAATCAACTGAAAGCTGGGGGACTTTGGGATATTGCCTTACTAAAAAAATTAACCAAGAGTTAAGGGCCCAGCCTATTAATTCAATCGATTCTCTTTCACATGTGCTAGCATGCTTGGATTTCTTTAGCCAACCACAGTTGAAGCTTCCTCAATCACATGTGACCATCCTGAAAGATCTAATTAATACTCTTTAGTTAAATTGAGATTGGTAGATTCTCCAAAGAAATTTTAGTCTTGCAGTTGAATATATCAGTATTGTTTTATCCAGGTCACTGTTGATATGTTATTTTGTGCTTAGTGTCAGTTATGTTTTCATACTGTATTGGTTGTAGGTAAACTATATGTATATATTAAAAGGCCACTCTTATAGTAGCCAAACCCACCTGCTTTTTCAGAATGTGTCATGAACAATTTTGTGTGCATCAACATTTCTTTTAAACCACCTAGTAATTTTTACTATAAGCCAAGACAATTCTTGCCAACCTAAACACAATTTAGGGATGTAATGTGATTCTATGGTGAATTTGAGCCTAAGTTCAAAGCCTCACTCAACCCTGAATTACTGGACAGTGAAAGTGCAAATATGAGCCCAAGAAACTATACAAGTTCTATCAGGACAAAAGGCCATTATTTTCCTAATGCACATCAGTCCATTACGTATTGGAAAAGTAAATATCAAGTTAAAAGTTATGTTTTGTTATTCCTTTTACCTCATTTGTTATTTCCTCATTTTCTGAAGATCTGAAGCTAAGTAGTTCCCTTTTGTCCATTAAAATGGACCAATCTCTTTCCGATGGAATCCTATACACACTTGTCTGGGAGTAAGTCCCATTGAACTCAGTGGGCCTCCATTCTATGTAGGCATGTATAGGACAGCACTATTAGTACACTAGAAACACAAGAACAATTCAATGTACCTAACGTTTAATATTGAAAGGGTTTAAGAACCAGACTAAAATAATTAAAATTATACTTTTTACGATTATTTTATATAGTAAATGCCAGGAAACTATTTGCACCAATACTAAATTCAGCATAGTTAAAACATGGAGCTTAAAAAAGAATAACTTTGTTAGGCCATTAACTAGATGAAAAATCGTATTTCCTTTGAAAGTTTGTATCCTACATCTCCATTTGCATGGGCTTAACAGTTGTATTCAGCAATGCTATAAAGAATTTCTGGGATGGTGGGGGATTCTGAGAGTTCTAGTCCCAACTGGAGAACAGGAGTGGAGAAAGCTGTTATAGAGCAAGGGTGATGAGAAGGGATATCTCAATACATTTGGAACTTCAATTCCCAAAAGCACCTGCCAACATATCCAGTAGTCCAAACCCCCTGGAGGTCCATTTTCTGCCCACTCCTGGTAGAGAGGACCAAGATGAAAACAGGAATGTGGTCTAGCAGTCTAACCCAGCACTAGTAACCTAGGGAAGCAAAAAGGCAGTCCTCATTTCTGAATTTAAAGGTTTATGATCTAATTTATTGTCCTGAGGAATGGTGTGCTGCTTCTTAATCTCCAAGTTTTTGCTTGCAAAGTTCATAGTGCTTTCTGAGCATGCCGCATGAGTGCTGGGCATGAATAGGCAAACCCCCATCTTCAGTTAATCCCATGGTATGGTCATGCAAGACATTTCAAACAGAATAAAATGGTATTACCGCCATCTGCAAATCCTGTCGCAGTGATGATAGGTACAGCCACCATAATCAAACCGCTGCTACTCCAGACGTACTTCATCAGGAACTGCTCAAGCATGATATACCACAAGCGTTTGGACAAAATGAGGTTCATTTGTTCTGCCAGTGCTTTGTAACTTTTCTGGAGTTGATTCATCTCTACCTATAGTTCAAAAATGCAAATTCTGACAGAGTATGGTACAGACAGGCACAAATGCACTGTAAACAGACAACCTATAAGGGGATGCTACTCACTCCTGTGCCTTACCTGCTGACAAGAACTGGATGTTTCCTTAAATCAGGGGTAGTTTCCTATGTGACCCAAAGCAGAAGTACTTGTGATTCACTTATTATGTCACCATATTTTTTTGCATGTTCATGAAGCCTGAAGATTAGCATATTGTCCCCCTCCAGAAAATTATGTCCAAACACACCTGACTTTGGACTTTTGAATGCATAGAAACTACAGTGCATACCAGTTGAAGCTTTGCCTGTTGGTATTTAAAGAAGGGATGTTGATCCTCTCTCATCCCAATGGCCTGACTTAATTTTAGAGAAATGGGTGGATTCCAGTGGTGGGCAGGCCCAAAGGCAAATGGGGCAGAGCCAAAATACTAGGAGATTCTTCCTTGAAACTCCTGTCAATAACAAAGCCTTAGCAGAGGCCTTTCGACCTTTCAGAATGCAGAATAAAAACCTGAAAAATGGGAAACCACCCACCAAAGGATGGGAAGACAGGGCAAAGAGGGTGGAGCCAGGAAAAGGGTGTGTGTGTGGCTACCTGGAGAATCCTGGAAGGGAAGATTTAGCCTGTTGGCCTAAGGATCTACATCAGCATGGCCTCCAAAGTATCTTAAGGAGTCTTTACACACTGGCTGCTAGAGATAAGTATGCTTTAGAATAAACAAAAAGTGCTTTAAAGATCTTGAAACTCTGTTCATATGGTTTTGGCTGAGGGAATCTATGCTGATATATACCAGTTGAACATTGAGTCAAATAAAGATACTGTCAACCCAGTCACTTATGGCACAGAGGATAATTAATTTATTTATAGCAAGTACAGATATTTATGGATCAGAATCACTATCTTCTTTTAGATTCAAAGCTTCAGGCCTTAAATAGACTAGAATTTTAAGTACCTTTGGATTCAGTCAAACAATAAAATGAATTATTATTAAATTGGATGTATACTCCACTTTCTTTCTCTTGCAAGGAAACCAGAGCAGCTGGCAGGGTTCTCATCTCATCCATTTTATCCTCCCAACAACAACCCTCTGACATAGTTTAAGCTGCAAGTTTGTGGCTAGCCCCAAAGCACTCAGTGAGCTTCACGGTTCAGTGGAGACTAGAGCCCGGATCTCCTAAGTCCCAGTCCAGCATGCTAATCACTGTCCCATGTTCACTCATCATGGAAGGTGAGATGTGCATGTGTGTGAGCATGCGTATTGCCATCTGCCTGAAGCTGTGACATCTTGAAATATCATGAAGGCCTCACTATGGAGCAGTTGCCCAACTTTGATCAGCATTGTCAACTTCATTGCTTCCTTCTCTAGATTTTGCTCCAGACATAGGTGACCATATTCCTTTGATCTACCATCCTTTCATTCTCCTTTAGAATGAAATTAGAAGAAAAACAAGAGAAGGAAAACTCTGTTTATTTCCCAGATAAAAGCTAATTTTAAAATTTGCATTAAAATGTTGGACACTTGAAGTTTTAAAAGACTCACATGTAACTATAGTTGTTGACTAAAAGTCCAACTGTTCTCTTACTGCATCATGTAAACTGTTATTTCACCGTTCCTGTTTGATTATGGTTTCTGTCAATGATGCAGTACTTCCCTGTGTTTTATTGCTTGCACCCTGCCCTGCTTAGGGATTATTTGAAATATTATCATGAAAGGGGGGCCAAAAAGTTTTGAAATAAATACAGTGGAAACCTACTTTGCTGTTTGCTATTTAAAGATTCTGCAGGACTACATCACTGCTTAGCTATGCATAGCAGTGTCAAAGGTTGTGCTGCTGTCCATCTTAGAGCAAAGTTTTCTTCCTGTACGCTACATTGACAGGGTGGGAGAGAAAAGAAGACATTTATTTTCACCAATACTTTTAGGAAAATATAAAACGCCATCAGAAATATATGACAGACAATTTTACAACGCATTCTAACATGCGTTTACTCAGAAGTGAATTCCTCTAACTTCAGTGAGACAAGCATCTCTGGCAAGTATGTTTATAAACAAGTTTTATGAAGTAAGATGAGCCTAGAGCAGATCCTCACCCATTCTGGTATCCTCTAGATGTGAACTACAATGCCCTTAAGTCCCAGCTGGCACGTCATGCCAGCTGGGACTTATGGGAGGCATTGCCTAACACATTTGGAAACCATCAGACTGGAGGCCTATTTACCTTCCCTTCCTTTACATTTAAAATAAGAGAAATATTCTTGCTACTGTTGTACAAGTTTTATGTTGGTTTAGGCTACAACTTACATGGCAGTAAGTGCTATTTAATGCAATAATTTGCTTCTAAGTAGACATGTACAGGATTGCATTGTCAGTTATCCAAATGGCTGGGGGGAAAAGAAGGTAAAGAAAATATCCAAAACGTTTTGTGAGTGTTTAAAGGGAATATGTAGATAAGGCCATATCATGCTGTTCTTGCCAATATCTGGCCTAGACATTTCCAGAGAAAAGGTATCGCCCCACTGTGTGGGGTTTCCCCGCTTGGCTGATCATATATACAGCCTTTTGCCATATATTGTAAACAGGCCTGGGTGTCTTAGGAATTCAACTCTGAGTGCTGATGGTCCCTAGAGAGATGACAGAGTACTACAGCAGCAGCAGCAGCTTCAGAAGTTCTGGTCTCAAATATCACCCAGCCAGCCACTGTTTCTTCCTGCCCTCTTACCTTGTGTCCTCGATAGAAAGCGATCTCTTCCACGTTGGCAATAATCCGTGAGTGGACATAGCGCAGGTAGCCCTTCCGATGGGCCTCCTCTGCCACCAGCTTGCCAAACTTGGGTGAGCAGGCTTTCAGCACCTTGGCAGTGGCATATACCACCAGGCCAGCCAAGAGTGTGGGTCCAATGGGGCTGGCCCCCCTGGACCGTGCCGTCTGGATGAGAGTATAGGAGGTCAGCACCACATCCAAGATGGGCTTGGTCAAGTTGGAGTAGAGGTGCGCCACAGACTGCGAGAACATCATGATGTCTTCTGTCAGTGACTGGTCGGGGTTGGCCAATCTGCTGTCCATGTTGATCACCTTGTAATATGTCTGGTGGGCGAAGTAGGTCTCGTAGGCATGATCCACCAAGCGGGTGCGGAAGGCCAGGGCCAGCTTGCACTCCAGGTAGCGGATGGCACTGTTGACAAAAGTGGCCGGGATGGCAATCATGAGCCACTTGATTAGCTTCCAGGCAAAGCTCCGTGGCTGCTTCTCCACGATGCTCTTCACGATCTTGCCATCCAAGCCCGCCACGTAGATGGAGAGGAAGGTCCGCGAAACCAGCGCCACCGAGTGCAGGCACAGCCAGCCGCTCTCGGGGCTCACCAGCTTGGGGAAGAGGATCTTGCGGAGCTCCAGCAGCTGCCGGAAGAACTCTGCGTTGGCCGCCGGCGAGGCTCGGCCCGACGGCAACGCCGGGGGACAGTGCAGGAGCGTCGCCGTCGCCTCCTGGGGAAGATCCCCCCCTGCAGCCCGGCTCCTGCTGCTGCTGGCGACCGGCCGCAAGCCCTTCCTGGAGCTTGCCTGCCTGAGCCGCCTGCAGACGAGCGGGCAGAGAATTTTCAGCCCGTATGCCGCAGCCAGCAAGCACGCCGCCCTCTTCGCGGCGCTCGCCCGGGGCCATCTCGCTCGCCCGGCGTCCGCAGCAGCCTCCAGTGCGGGGGTCATTGTCCGCGGCGGCGGCGGCGGCCGGGGAGACCCCCCCTCGCACACGCCCTGCTTCGCGGATGCGGTCGCCGCCGCCTTGCGGGTGGGGGGCTGGAGGAGCTTCTACCTACCGAGGGGGGCGAGGACCACGGCGGATCTAGGGGCGGCAGCCGCTCACCGAGGCCCGGAGTGACCCATCATCCGTGCCGCCACTTCCCCACTCCCGCCCTCCCCGATCGGGCTGGTGACATAGGCAGAATGACTCTTGCTTCGCCGGGATGATGCTTTCACTTCCATCCATGCCCAGCGCGCCGCTCAACGATCGCCCTGCTCCCCAGCCACCAGCCGCCGCCGGCCCCGCCTCCGCAGCCCGCTCATTGGCCGCGGAGCCCTGGGAAATCCTCGCCTGGCGTTCCTTCGGCTCCTGCAAAGCGCTTTTCCATTCAAAGACACGACGGGGAGGGGGAGGGGACGGGAGGGAAGCGGGGGCTCCAAATCCAGGCAGCGGAAATCCCTTTCTCTGCCGGGTTGGTGGGCATGTCAGAAGCAACAACAGCCCCAGTCGCTAGCAGCTGTTGCCGCTTCGGATTGTGCGCGTCCTGGCATGTGCTGATCTCGATGCTTCCCATGCTCCTATTCCTGGGACGTGGGAGTAGCAAAGGAGAATGAAAGGGAAGCTTCCTCCACCATAAGCTTCCCTAACCTGATTCTGTGACCTGCGAAGTTTGCCCTTTCCTCATGTTGTAAGGAAAGCTGGGATGGCTCACACGTGCACATTTGTTAAACAGCCCTGGCTGCGAGTCTGGCGAATGTGAACGAGCCATGTTGGGCCAGAGCAAACTTCTCGTCACCTACTATTACCCAGATGATCCTGCCAGGCCATGCACTTCTCACTTGATGGCTCTGCGCAGGACCCTGTCGGGATGGCAACAACAAGGGGCAAAGACTTTCTTGGTGGTGGCCCCTCCATTTGAAGCCTTCAGAGAAGGCTGGCGGGGTTCAGTGGGGCTCTATTTTATTTTGAGCTTTATCAGCACTATCCATGGTGCTTATCTCCAGCCCCAAACAAGTCACCACCATAGTGCTCCATTCTCGTTTTTTCACATCCTACACTTTTACATGTAAGATGTAAAGAGAAGTAGAGATAGCCAATGCCATAAGGGTGGTTTACAATCATACAACCAAACAAAAAAAGTGTGACTATTGTGCACAATGTGACTGTTGTAAACATTATACTTCAATCTGCTTTGGCACAGCTAAAACATTTATGAGGTGGGAGACCTAACAACTTTACGAGACCAAGATATTAGGCTCGCTGACAGTGTGAGGACAGGGGTAGAATAAAGCAATCCATTCACAGCACTTTGAAATAGCAGGACACCCTTGTGGTAAGTGCTTCACTGTGAGGTGAAGTGTTAAGAATACCACAGTACAGTAATTACCCTCAGAGAAACCCCAGTGTGGTTACTGCTGCACTCATCCTGACATTAGTTTAATTAATGCACATACAAATATCTATGCTTTATGAAGTACTGTAATGGGCATTCAAAGAAGGGATGGGCAATCTGTAACCCTGCAGAACTTTTAGCCTACAAGTCCCTGCATCCCTCACAACTGGCTATGCTAGCTAGGGCTGACGGGAATTGTAGGATAAAATATTCAGACAGCTACCCATTGCCCACCCCTGACATAAAGCTTGAAATTTTCTCTTAGTGGAAAGAAGGCCTGACTTCTAGTTTGTCAAGGCTGTCTAGTTTTTCCTGCACAGTTGGGAGAAAAGCTAGACAGCTTTTCTGTACTTTGGAGACCATCCCATGTGCATGCCCTCTGGTCAAATTGGTACAAAATGGTACCAATCATCTCTACATTCCTGTTGCTAAGGGATTGATCTTCATGTGGTGGCACAGTGTGCACATGTATGTCTATACAAGTGTAGCCACCATTCCCATGTAACACCTTAGTAGTGCACATACGTGAACTATGAAAGTCCATGCACCCATGTGAGCTTAAATCTTCTCTGTTGGAAAAGTCTTCTCTCTTGTCTGTTTGAACCAGCCCTGAATAGAACTTCCTGGAGGAATAAAATAGTTTCATACTACAGTAGAAGTATTCATTTCTTTGCAAATAATCTCCACGGGATTCAGTGGAGTTTGCTTGCTAGTAAATTTGTGCATAGCCTTGCAGCCTTATAAGACAGAGCCTGCAGCAGAGGTAGGCAATCATTTTGGAATGAATACAGTTTACAACTGAATAACCTGTTCTGGACACCACCCCAAAAAGGCTGCCAAAAAGGGGGAGTTGTCAAAGGTCAAGTAACCAACCCAAAAGACTGATTACAAGGCAAAGGTAGGGTTTGACATGAAATACTCTTTTTAAAAAATTGGCACAAGCGGCAATCCTAACTTCCAGGAAGAAAATGTGTTAATTTAAAACAAATAGACAGACTGAGAGGTGTAGAGCACTTCACATGGTGAAGGGCACTTCACGAAAGATTGCTGCATTGATGGCCATGGGCTCCACATTGCCTACCCTGGCCTACAGCTAGTTAGAAAGTTGTAATTTTAGCTACAGTAGATCAGCATAAGCTACTGAAAATGCTGAAACTGTATTAAAAGATCCCAAGTTCTGTCCTCAATATCCCTGACTAAATGGTATCAGGGGAATTGAGAATTGGGAAATGCTCCAGCTGATGTGGAGAGCCATGAAGAGTATATGAAAGTATGCAGTTCTGATGGAAAAGATGAATCACGTGCCCAGTTGTTTGTTCTAAAGGGAGAATGCAGCAATCTCCAATATAATTTTGCTTCAATAGGCTGCATACCTAAAATAAGGGTAGGCATATGTCAGACTCACTGGATTTACTCTTCAACTCAAATCTCAGAATCCACCTACTGGAACCAAGAGCAAAAAACATTTTGCTAGAATTCTGAAGCTAAGGATTTGTTTGGAGTACCAGAACTGGACAGAGCTCACAGTCATTCTCAAAAACCAAACAAGTAAAAGGCACACACACCCTACCATGCTTGGCTAAAGCTAACTTCATTTCAGTGGGGAATTATTTAATGCTGCTAGCATAAATAAGAAGTCAGATATTCTTGTTTATTATAATGCAAATCACCCAGACATGTATCAGTAGATCCAGATCTACCTTCTGTTCACCTCTGACCTAAGAGGCCACCTAGTCTCTGTCTTTAAGTCCTGTTAACTATTTTCTTTAAGACTTGTCAACTATTACCATCAATTTGGACTGCCTGCATTCTTCATCACAGTTATACTTGGGAGACTTCACTGGCACTGAATGATGGAGGCATACAGCTAACACGATCCTATGTAGGCTTATTCAAAAGTAAATCACTCTTATTTGATTTATACTCCGGTCAAGGAACCACTTCTTAGGACAACAGCTGTGTGTATAGACAAGGTCTGTGAAATCCAATCTGACCACAGTAATTTAAAAATATAAATTCACAATAAAACTGTGTATATCACCATAGCCACAATAATTGTGCATTATGACATATTAAGGGCACAATTGTATGCATGTTTATATAGAAAAAATGCTACAATCCTCAGCATGCCCTGGTCAGCATGGGTGGCTCAAGGGTTACTGGCAATTGAAGGACTTTTTTCTGTCTAATCATGCCTAAAATTGCTCCTTAAAGAAAAATATGCATGCAGGTTGTCAACCATTTAAAAGGTTACTGGGGTGTAATCCCAATCACAGGTCCATAATCTTTTTTTTTTTTTTTAAATACAGTTTTGTAGTTTTAATTGTAACTGTTTAAAAAAATTATACGGTTCAGAATGGAAGAGAGTGCACAGACGATTTCTGGAGGCCAAGCATATGGATCAAAGAATTGTGGTTTTTGTAATGCTTTTGGAGGAGTGCTATTACAGTAGCAAGAGGACAGCTGGAGGCCAAGTTGGAAGTGGAATTAGGCAGGAAGTCCAAAGTTAGAGGTAACTTTGAACCAAAGTGAAGCCCAGTGAGAGAGAGGCTATGCAGCAAAAATGTTTTCCTTCTGCTTCTTTATTTTAACATTTATATTTCATTGCTCCACAGGCAACTTAAAATCACATGAACTAAAACATATAAAAATATAGAAACAACCTCACTGCCACACTATAATACAATATTTTAAATCAAGCAAATCATTCCAACTGGACATGCAACATTCTGAAATGTTCGAGATTCTGTGATCACAATATACTATATAAAACAATGCACATCAGTGAATATATAATACATTAAACATACATAAAGTATCTGTTTACTAGCCTACCAAACAGATGAGTTTTGTAGCCTTTGCTTAGGGCTCTGAAGGGAAAATTGACCAAAGTTGTAATTTTATATATATTTACCTAGAAGGAAGGCTGTCTGTTCTTCTGAGTAGACATGCATAGGATTTTACTGTAAATCTACTCTCAATGTAATTTAATAGCCTCAGAGTTATAGCAGTAAAGGCTCTTTTCTCAGCACTGAGTATCTGCCAGATGTCCTGATTTAGCCAGAATAGCAATGTTTTTCAGAGCTCTGCCCCACAGAGAACATCACTGTCTCATCATTCTGATTTTTAAGAAGCACCTCCATTTATTTATGTATGCACTGACATTTTGTTTATTTGTTTAAAATAATTCTAGGCAGTGTTTAAGGTTGAAAACTTCCCAAGGTAGTATACATAGTAAAGGAAATCAATAGTAAAAATGAATAAAAATAAAACAAGCAGCCTCAAAAAATACAGGGAAGAAAAGGCCAGTGAAACAAGTGGGTCTTCAAAGCTTTCTGATGATCTGAAAAGAAGAGGTCTCACAAACCACTGACAGAAACACATGCCAGAGGTGTGAGGCCACTACTACAAAACCCTCCCCTTTGTACTTCTGAATAAGGGGATGAGAAGCAAGAAGGGTGTCTGGTGATTGCCTCAAAATGCAGGCAGGTGAGTGTGAGTGATGGTGATCTTTCAAGTAATTGGACTGCAACAATTTCAGGCTGTTAAGTTTAAAACCAGCACTTTCAATTG